ATCCTTCCACCTCTAGATTGGCCGATTGATACATACACATATTTCCGCGTGATTGGATCAATTCTCCCAATTGCGGAAAGATTGAGAGTAGTTGAGATAAGGAGTTGTTAGAGAGTAGTTTTTGTCAATCTTGCCAAAAAAAAAGACTGGGAATGTGTTTTGGAAACTCTTAGAGATGCTCTAACTAATTGTTGGTTAAACTTTGTAAAAGTTGTATTTTTTCTGTACAAAATATGCTTATGTTCTAGCATGGAGGGTGTATTTTAGAAGAAATCAATAGTCAAAGATACCCATAAAAAACCGTACAAAGTCAAACACGACTAATTAAGCTGTATATTTGAACGAAGCTAGTCCAAAATATATGTCGTTTTCATAATTCTTATTAGAAATTCATATTCTTTCGAATAAACCATTAGTGAAAGTGTTGCCACATACAGAACAAAACATGTACATTATCATTCAAAATGACATTCATTTTGAATCGAACAGAGTGGCGGAGCTTGAGGTTAAATTTAGAAGGAGCCAAACTGGAATGTACATGGTTTAGGGAGTGTAAGAGTGGCCAATTTAAATCTTCATTAGCAAAATATACTAAGATACGATAGCATCCTTTATAGAATTGCAAAAATGAGGAGAGGTCTGGCTCACTATGGCCCTAGTGAGCACATAGCTTGCCTCTAGACATACTTTAATTTTGTGCATCATATCTTGACCACTAAAGGACCTACCACTAGGACCCGGAAATTGATGACAGAAATTGAGTGCAATATATAACAACTACCCCCTCCGTCTATAAAAGAATACAACTATAAGTTACGTGTAGATCAAACTAGTCTAAACTTTGATGGAGTTTACAAGACCAGTCTCGGTGGGGGTTTCATGACCCAGTTTTCAACACATCTATATTTTGAAAACAGTGCAGAAGAGTTTCATCCCATGAAACTCTCTCTTCATCAATACGGTGACACATCAGCATATTTAATGTCCATGAAACTCTAATGAAACATCCATAGAGACTGGCCTAATAAATAGTATTAATATTTATGTCTTTAAAAATTTACTATGATAATACATCATTTCAACTTCAAATTATTTGACTTCCCAAAAAACGAGAATTATATTTTTTATGGACGAAGGGAGTATTTGATCTTTAACTCCTAGCTCTTTCTCACCGGTTATTAACATGTACTAACTCCGATAAACACGTTAACATGTAATTTATGTAACGCTAGCACGTCCAATTCTGATTTCAGAATCAAACTTCTATAAAAAATATCAGTGAGCAGTCGACTCGTCATCTTAGGTTGTGAATGCCTGTGTGCATCGACTGAGGCGGACCCATCGATGGGAGAGAAAAGGGCTGATGCGCTAGAGGGCCAGAGGGGTATGGCATGACCGCAGGAGTGTGTTGCGTGCGGACGAAAAGTCCCATAAAAAAGCCTAGCTAGTACTCGTAGCCAATTACTAGTGTACATCATGTCATCTAGTGCTACTCTCCACAGTTAGGAACTGACTGTTAAACGAAAGAAAAGAAGTCTGACATGCCCTCCATTTAATCGCGTGTCATCGACCGCCCATACCCGTGCTAGTACTACTGCTGTTAGCAGATTTCGATTGCTTGTTGTTGTTGACCCTACATTGGTTATGTCATAGATATCATCGTCAACTAGTAGCTATGTCGTCGTGCAGGCTTGTGTTTAATCAATTTCTTCGTTTAATTAGACATGACTGCTGGGTTCTAAAAGTCCAAATAAAATGAACTACCAATAATACAGGTCTACCAGTCTACCTCTCTCTTTCAAGCGGCTGGATATAGGATTATTATTAAATATAAATAAATCTCTTGTGAATTCTAATTTGTGATTACATGTTTATATATTTTACTTAACTCAATGGTTATTCTAGCACTAGGACAAAATATATTTAGACATAACCAATATGGATCAACATAGTCAGATGGTGGCTCTCCTCTGTCCTGAACTCATTGTTAGTCAGGAATAACAAAGGCAGCCTCGGTAAATCCAAAAAAAGAACAGCTAGCCAACAAAGCGTGGTGAGCCTATTGTAAGGGCCTATCGAGCTCACCGGAGGCCCATGAAGCCCGCTCGTGGATATTGTCATAGCTTGCCGTTTTCCTCAACCACCAATCCGCCAAGCCTCACCCCTTCTTGTGCCCTACCATCACCATTGAGCCTACTCGCACCTCGACCACCAGTTCCACCACCATCTAGCCCACTCCTGCCTCCCCTTGCCAACAAATCCGGAATAGAGAGAATGAGGGGGGGAGGAGAGGAAAAGGGAGAGGTGCGCTCTACCTTATCGAGCTTGTGTGCCGTTGTTAGATCTAGAAGGGGGTGTGGGGCTAGTGCGCTGCCACAGGATGTTGTGTCATTGGCTACGCCCTCTTTAGTGCTCTCGGCGGTGCCCTTGGGCATACCCTTGGCCAAGGCTACTGCCGCCACTACACCCTTCGCTAGAGACAGAGAGAGAGAGAAGAGGTGGCTGATGAGGGAGAAAGAGAGAACGATGAAACCTAAACCCTAAGTGCTTGTATGTATATGTGCCCATAGTGTTGGGTGGTGCCTAGGCATCAGGCCTATTTCCTGAGGCAGATCTTTTAAGATATCCACCTATGAGAATACACTATTTTAGAGGAGGACATCTTAAAAGGACTGCCTCTATTAATATATTTTTTTGTCTCGATAAATGAGCCGTCTACCTCTAAAAATTGCAAGGTATTTTTGGAGATAGAGAGATTTTTTAACTTTTTACCACCTTTGTTAATAAAAGAAGCTATCTTCTAAATTATTTTTATATCATCATACACGAGTCCATTTTACTACAATCCTATATCCTATACATTGTATAAAAGCTGCAGCCATATTGAGCCACACCATCTGCATTTCACAACCGTTGGATCACCACACTAAATTTTGAGGATCTAGCGTCCATAATGTTCACCTTTCCCTATGTCCACTTCTTGCAGCTCTCGCTCGGCAGACCACACTACAGAAGCCCGAACAACAGACAAAAGATGAAATAGCAAGGCTCACCCCTGAGCCCATAGAAGAAGGAACGATCACAAGATCGTGCACCACTTGGTGCCTGTGCTTCCTCTCCCTCTCGCCCGCTTCCTTGCGCGTGGAGAAGGCTCGTTGGTTCTCCATGGAGTTACCGCACTAGAAGCTTGGCCTTTGCGAGGGCATCCTTGAGAGGGGTTCGAACAAATTTACATTTCCACACTTATTTGCATTCCTTAGGTTGCGTGTTTATCTTTCTTAGTCTAACTTGCTAGGTTAGTCGATAGAATTGGAACCTAGAGTGCAAAGCTATTTTGCATTAGAGATAGAAACACTTAGCAAAAACATAGTGCACATTTGGATAGAATCATGCAGATATAGGTTTTGATAAGTTGGTTTTAGTTGGCCAATTAGTTTTAAGAAGCCTAATTCATCCCTATTAGACGTCACAGTCTCTTCAACCGTCCTATACATTCATTTTCTTAGGGCCACCAAACCCTATCCTCTGTTGAATGTCCTCTAATTATCCAGTGGTAGTGTCTTCCACTGACTTCACTGGCCGGACTCCACAGTACGTGGGTGCATTTATCTTACCACCGGGCAATCTTGTGATTGCATCATCAACTATTCTTGCCTCTAACTTATTCTCATGAATTCCAATTGAAGCGAGACTTGTTTCGTTGGGCTCCTTGCATTAAGCCTAAGCTCTTTGGACCAAATGTTCACCAATATTGCACCACCATTCACACTTGAACATTAGGACAAGCTTTAGCACACTTGACTCCCATGTATTTTTTTTTATCCTAACTCTTGAAAAGTCTTCAATTCTTGAGTCCTACCATGCCGCACTTGACTCCTTCATGGATCTCCTACTTCATCCTTGAGTTCTTGATCGTCTTTGTCATCAACCATTGGGGATATCTTCATTCTTCATACATTGTGGCCTAGCATTGACCCTTGATCCTCCAATCCTTGTGCTAGCCACACATGCTAAGCTTGTCCTCATCTTGCTTCTTCACATCCAGGCCACCAATGCTGCCTCCATTGCGGATTGGTGGGAGGTTGCGGCAAAGGTAGTACAAAGGAGCAAAGAAGCGCTTTCAACGGTGTAGCCAATTATGTTACGTGGAATTTGTGGGGAAAAAGGAATCGCTGACTTTTCAGCTTTGGCCATGGCCCTACGAGCAAAGGAAGATATTGACCAATCATGGCGTGTTTACAGGTTTCAGTAGTGAAATGTCCTTTTTGTCTTAGGATGTTTTGTTCTCTACTTGTGTTTGGTGCTACCCTCCAAGCAATTTGTCTGCTTCCTCTCTGGCTGTGCAGTCGCAGGGCTGAACTTTCTGTTGTACTGTTTTGCTTCTCCTTTCTCTAATATACTCCTACAAGGTAGATCTCCTGCCATTTCTCAGTTAAAACAAAATCATGCACACATTAAAAGCAGCTCAAAAAATAAACCAATTAAAGATTTCACAGCCTTTTGAGGCCAAAGTACGACACGATTAGCCCTCAAGGGCGACGACCTGACCAAATCTGTAGGAACTAGCCTAGGCCGAGATGTATCTGATACTTACAATCTCACTTTTACCCCATGCAAGGTTTGGAATGCATTCCCCTAAAAATGGTCTGGAGAAACAAACTGTTAGGAGTCAAGAAAATAATAGTCAGCAAAATCCAAATTGCTGACTAGAATCATCAAATGCCAGGCACAATTATAAACAGATAATCTATCTGGAAACATAAAAAATAAGTTTTACATTCTGCAATAACTTGATAAGTCCACTCTGATTCTCTTACATTCAGAAAGACTTATCTTTAGGTAACTTGCATTTCATGCCCGCATATATGAAATGTGAGTGTAAAGCCTTTCTTTTTAAGGCAACGACAATTGTATTTGTCAAAGTGTACATAGATTGTCATCGTATTCTGAATCTCTGAGTTGGAAAATACTGTATCCCAACGTCAGATATGGTCAAGTCTTTACATCAAATGACCAGCGTAGCATGCTCGGGGATACTCATGCTGCAGCTGGGGCCACTGCACAAAGAACTGGTCAGCTATCCGTAGCTTGTACAGCAGCAAACCACTCAATGACAGCTTCTTCACTCTTGCAATGCTTTCAATGTAGAAAATGGAGGACCATCCCAAACCAAGCACCTACAGAAAGACAGCAATCCTAAACTAGTTAGGTACTGGTAGAAAAATTGGCATCAACATGAAATTTGGGATGAGGAAATTAGCAATCGCAATATCCATTTATCCTCCAAGATCAATGGCACAAGTTTCATACTGCATCAAGTAAGCAAGCATAGATGTAGGCTGTTTTTTCTTTAATAACTGAAGCTAGGCTGTGAGGGCTACCTTCAGAAGGAAAGCTGAGATGCATAGAGGAAAGCATGTCCCTGGACCATTGCAAAATATCTGGAGGAATATCACAAAACATTAGTATTTGAACTCATGCTGCAAATAGCTACCATAGCTTGAACTAGGTACACACCACTTGTGGTCTGATTCTTATTACTAGCCACATAGCATGCAATGTGGCTAGCAATGTTGTTGCGATGGATGTAATATAAGACTGGCCTACTTCACGACTTCACGATATATCTGCATGAAATGAGCGTTCTCGGCAGTCTTCATTCCATCGCTCTGAAAAGGCACTAAATATAATCATATTCCATATTTTAAATAGCCTAGCAAGTTCCTAACATAATCATTGGTTCCATGGAACATAATAATTGACCTCCACCTGAATAAGTGATTGCTCATAGACCTGTGCCTTTTGAAGACTCATGTTGTCAGTAAGTGCAGCCACATAGTATCTTGGTGTGAACCTATCCTTCTGAAGTGTTGTTACAATATTCATCATTTCTGCAGTATGCCCTCCTAACAACCAGAACACAAAATAATGCATGTTTCATCAAGCTACATATCTTACACCTTAGACACTTGCTAACTCAAAGAAAAACTACCAAATGTTCTGGCAAGAGTGTGCACAGGAGTCCAGTAAAATATTATAAATACTAGTGATATGCTATTTGATAGTGATCCAATGTGTTAAAATAGAATATAATTTCTCAATGGGGAAAAAAATCCAAGAGAAAACTAAAGCATAAATATACCTATTACTAAGAGATACAAGTGTGTTTTGTAATTGTATACTGTAAAATAATAAGATCCTGACAGTTTCAGTACTGCCATTAAACAAGCCAATACATGCTAAATAGGGCGAGAATGAATATGCAACTAAGACAAGATACTGTGATACTAGCAAATTGGCAACTAAGGAGAACTAAGATAGCATTTGCAAATGAGCAGAATAAACTGAAGAAAGTCAACCAAAGCACAAAAAGATTATTAAAAAAATGCGCCCTTCTTAGAATAGATACCGGAGCTGAAAAATGTCTAGCAGAGGCTACAAAAAGGGAACTACTAACTCAGTTCAGGGTCATCAGAGTTGCACAAGGAGCATGATGATTCCTTGTGCTGTAACTAAACATCATATATAAGCTATCTTAGTTGACACATCTTTAGTTTGATCTGCCTTATGAACTTTACACATGGCAATGAATATAGGAACCAAGTTTAAATTTAAACATGCACCAAGTTTGTATAAATTGTGAGTTTGTGACAATGCCCTCTAGAAAGCAGAACTGCTGCGGCACAAATGTTACGGTTGCCTGGGAGCAATAATGTTTCTGGACGAAACAAGATTTTGTCCCACGATCTCTTTGTGACAGTCTACCATGATCAAGTCAGTGAAAAGCCAATTCCCATATGCAGAGACCAAGAGTTGTGCTTTCAGTACCATAGAAGATCAACTAGCATATGAAGTTGCAGTTACCAACAATTATTCAGTATTGCCACATGTTGGTACTCATGTATGCGCTTACACCTTTGAGTACTGTTTTATATACCAGGCAACCATATTTAAAACTTGTCCATAAGGTATTTGACAGGCAAGACAAGGCTACAATACGTACTCACCGGAGCCAAGGACGATGAGACAACGCAATCCGGTGGTGCGTGGCCTTGATGCTGGTTGGTCACTGTGCCACAGCACGTAGAAGAAGCGGACTGTGAGCACAGAGACGAGTACTGGAAGGGCGTAGCAGGCGGCCACCATGGCGTTGAGATCCATCTGTGTCAAAGTAGCAGAGCATGGAACAAGAAGTTTACACATCTATCCACAATATTTACTTCTTGTTTGGTCTGTCACCTAAACCAAAGCACGATTATGTAAGGCACGAAGAATTCATGTCAAATTCAACGCTTCATCTAGTCATTCATGTGAAATTTTCAACAGAAAAAGAGCAAAACCACATTCCATATTCAGTACAGATAACATGTTGGCAGCCATGGCAATCTAGTCAATTGCCATGGCCGATTGCTTAGATTCACACAAACAAAGCTCAGAGGGGACAAATTCACCTTGCTCAGTGTTTCTTGAATATCAGCGCTCTTGAAGGCTGCATCTGTTAGAATGAAGGTCCAGACATCGTCAGACCCTATAGGTGTGCAGATGACCCTGTACAGCGACAAGGAAAGCCATCACAGATCTAGTCTGATAAGGTTTCAAATATCGAAAATGAAAAAGAGATACTGAGTACTGAGCTGGGAAAGCTAACCAGTCTGAAACTATACATGTACAAGATAGTAATGACAGGATCACAGGAGAAATAATAACAAGAGAACTAATAACAAGAGAACAAATGAATGAAAAGCTCCTATGTTTTCTTTTTTCCCATCGCTGGGAGGAATGGAATTGGTTCCGAAGTTTAAAATAAAGCTACCAGTTTCCAGCTGCGCAAAATAACTAATTTAATGCATGACTGAAGTAACGCGTTGCATTTTTCTGTTTTCCAATCAGTGAATAATTGCACTTATATCAGGTAACAAAGGGAAATCTGTCAAAATTTTAAAGTAAGAAAATGTTATGCCCATGCATTTGTAGGTGGTACCAGTATTTATTTATTCCATCCGGGAACAGGGGACAAACTGGCCCATCCCTTTGAAGGATCCAGATAACTTTGCCTAGTATCCAGGTGGCCACAAATGGTAACGCCCGTATTTCAGATGAATGTAAAGTGGAGCTTTCCACAGCAAAACTCAGGAATGAATACAGTACAGATGAGTTAAATGAATTGCTCAGATTGGTGCTTAAGGTTGCTAAATACAACAAGACAGCAATCTAAATAAGACCAGTACTCCCACAACTAGTGCAACTAAATGCAACTAAAAGAGTTCATTCTTCATCGTGCTGCCCAGTAAGTAAATTTGAAGTTAGCTGTGTCTTTGTAACTTAGGAGCTATACCATGGTCAATTGATTTAGCATGAAAATGAAAAGTACAATAATAACTGTAAAAACAGTATGACAGAAGAACACAACTGAAGTACCAAAATTCACAGCAACACAGATGTGTGAAAAAGAGATCCGGAAAATATTAACAGGCTTACAGGCATGTACAGCCATATTAAATGGTGCTAGTAATATTGCTATGGTTCATGGCCTCAAGAAGCACAGCTGTAGCAAGCTGACTATAGCACCTATAAATTGGTGTGCGAAATGCAGACAAAAAAGAGGCACTTGAGGCTTCAGCTGATTGAATTAGCAATCACCTACTGCTTTACATTAGGACAGAGTAATGCAGGTCTGTCCAATGTGCAGCACCAAACAGATCCTACCAATAGAAGCCACAGGCCTGCATCTCAGGATTAACCGCAAAATACACAACCATGAATGATAACTAATGACCAAATGCCTGTCATATACAAAACATTACCGGTAAAATGATTTACAGCAAACCGGGGTCATTCATTATTTCAGGTATATGAGTCAGCCTCCACCAGGAATCCTCTCGACAAAACAAACAAGCAAAAAGCTCAATCAACGGCGGGCGGTAACATATATAATAATCTTCTTGACCGGGCTGAGTTGGGAATCCTGTTATTCAGGGCAGGGAAATCAAGACTAGGGTGGCAGCAGCGGCGGCGGCGCGGTGGTGGCGCCGGGGCAGTTAGGCCGGCCAAGCTAGGGTTGGGTTTAGCGAGGGGGCGCGTGGAGGTGAAGCTGCGGGCCGTGGGGGACGGGGGAGGAGAGCTGGGAGGAGAGAGGTGGACGAGCCCACGGGCAAGGAGTCGCGATGGGGGAAGAGGATTCACGATAAGGGAGCGGCCGTACCTGCGGTCACCGGTCAGTCGCCGGCAGCGGAGAGGAGAGGCAGACGGATCTTGGTGAGTGGCGGACAAGTGATGTCGAACTCTGAATTACCGGATTGCTCTGAGCTACTCGGAAGCAAGATCTTCTTTGCTTCTACATAATTGCTCATGGAACTCCGATACAAGCTGAAGAAGAACACCAGCCAGCATGGTTGGTAAGGCTGCATGCCCAGATGCAACGCCGGTGTAGTTTGTTTGACAACACTATTTCTTGCAGCTAGTTCCGTTCATAGTATCCCGTGTTTCTGAACTTTTTGATTCAGTAAAGACTCCAGAGCATATATACTGGTATTCTGAGCTTCGTGAGGGCAACTGAATGTTCAGTGCTCCATCAAACAAACAAACAGTTTTGCAGGTGTGACCATGGAATGCTTTGGCTCGGCGAAGGCATAGTCCAACCGTCCTACATCCATCTAGTTTGCAGTCTGTTCATAGTCGAGCTTGCGGTTCATGACAACAAACTTATCCCATTGTCTAAAAAAATGACAACAAACTTATCTCGAAAGTGGTCGGCTGATCTAGAACAGTGCTGATTCCTGCTGATTTCGGTTGATTTAATAGTGTTCTGTGAGAGAGAATAAGCTGAAATAAGCTAAAACAAGTTGACACTAGACAAGGAGAACAGGCATAGTCGGAGAAATGCTCGTTCCATGTTTCTCCATCTGAAAACTCCAAGCACGGTTTTAATTAACAAGACCTTTAGAACAGTCATTACAAGACCTTTTAGTAATAGCAGTGAATGCTTCTTTTTTTTTGTGTGTTACTGTTTTTGCAAATGCACAAGTCTCACGCGGCGCACTGGTTGACTACGTGCTTTCTCTTGAAGCCGAGGTGCAGTGCAGTGCAGCTTCGTTCGTGTTCCCACAAGCTCGATCTATGCATAGGAAACAGTAATAGCATCCCGTCATAGTTTTGTTAAAAAAAGTAACGGCACACTAGATGTGTCGTTTAGCTGAAAGTCACCTCGAATCTTAAGGTCCTAATCTGAAATTTCTTATGTGCGAGTCAGCGATGACAGGCACACGTTCAAAAATGTTTGTTCCATCCGCTTCGCTGAAAAAACAAACCGAAACACTGTTTCCGACTGATTTATTGTGAGAGAAAAACACTGTTCCGGCTAAAAAAACAAGCTAAAAAATAGAATTATAAGAGAAGCGAACATGACCATAGGATGTTCGGTCGTGTGCTCAGAAATCTAATTGAGATGCACACGTAACAGGAGTCGTGGAAAAATTATCATAATAAAAGAGGAGTTATGGAAACGGAAAATCAAACCTTTGTGTCATACAAAGTGATCCCCTTAAATATCCATCCAAATTACCCACCTATACCGTTACGACCTTACTAATGATACAAATGGGGTGGCTCAAATGGGATGATTTAAACAACGGTAATGCTCTCCTCAGAGCGTCCGTCCGTTCGGACGCCACATTTTCTAGGTCTGCGCGCTATCAGCCCAACAACGCCTATCTCTCCCACTCCCCACCGATAGTCATCCCCTCCACTCCACTCGTTCCTTTCGAAGCAAATAAGACCTGCCGCCGTGCCCGACCATCGCCAGCCATGGTTGGCGTTGCCACAGGCTTTGCCCTCACGCCGACGGTCTCCTGCATGTCTCTCCGACCCAGTGCTGCCTTCCATGCCCCAGGCCCTCCTCGCCGGTGCGGTTCCTGACCAGGCCGTGGGCGCGGCCGCCGCCGCCGAGGCTCGTGGCGATCACGCGGTACTCGCCCTTGTACGAGAAAGAGGAGGAGGAGAGGAGCTTTGGGGGCGGCGAAGGCTAGGGGAAGGGGGGACCGCGAGCTTGCTGGCTACGCAGTTGCCCACAGGTAGGCCGACGACGCTGTGTTTCAAGTGTTTCATGCGTTTTAGACTCATGTTTTAAGTGTTTCATCTAGATGTTGCAAAAGTAGATCCTGAGATGTTGCATATGTTGCAATGACAATATATATGCATGTTGCAAGCCTATGTTTCAAGTGTTTCAGTTGTTTTCAGACGTATGTTTCAAGTGCTTTATTTGGATGTTGCAGAAGTATATCTGGATGTGGCATAATATGCATGTTTCAAGCGCAAGTGTTTCATATGGATGTTGGAAAAGTATATCTGGATGTTGCATATGTTGATATGGCTATTGAAAGTGCATCTAGCCCTTTAGTGGGTTTTGGATGATTGAATAACAACGTGATTAAAGGTCTAACCCATTTGCTAAGTGTGGACAGGTGATAGGTTATCTCACAGGTGCTTAATGAAAGCCAAAATGATGTGTTGTTGTATAAACAATTTAGTTCAAGCACAAGACAACAATGCAAATGGAATTCATGCAAAGGCTTTGTTTATTGTGGGATTTCCATGTACTATGTAAAAAGCAAGCTTGTGAGAATTAATTAATGAGACATAAGGGTTTGCATATGGAATGGTCTCATATTTGAAGCTTGCTAAAATTAAAATGAAAAAGATAACAATACATGAATGAATGATTCAACACAAGATGTGACTTGATGGCCTGAGATGGTGAAGATAGCAAGGAAAGGCTTCGAGGTACTAAGCAAGGGTGAAGGGCAAGCAACGGCTTGGCAGCCGAAGAACCTAGCTAGGGTGAAGAAGAAAGTACTTGCATTTAGTTGAGGTACTAATCAAGCTATGATGGCCATGTTTATGTAAAGGATCAAATCACTATTGGAGTGTTTGAAGGAAGTGACTTGATACATTTGGGATTATTCAAATATGATGAATGGAATCAAGTCACGTGCTCAAAATGGCTATGCTCTAGTGAAAAAGATCAATATCAACATGTTGGCGCCCTCACTTGATGAAGATTGGAATACACGGCTTCGGTTAAAAAACAAGAGCAACTCAAAAGGTTTAAATCCGTTATACTTTTAAATTTGAGTAAATACGAATGCCGTACTATTAAGAGGGATGCATCATGTTGATAGATAATGTTTCATAAGTGCTCAAGCCAACCCAAGTGAGTTTTGAGTATTTGAGCGACAAAAGGGCTAACTTTATTTTTGCTGGTCTGGCTATACCGGACGTGTCCGGTATTTACCCAGCAGTTGTAAAATTGTTGTTCTCGGGTTGGTTCGTCGGGAGTTCCGACTTAGGTCGGGAGTTCCGACAAGGGTCGGGAGTTCCGATGTCTCGCACTTTAACTGTCTTGGAGGGCTCACTGTCCTGGTCATACCGGACATGTCCGGTATGCACGACTAGAGGCCAACGGCTAGTTTTCCAAAGCCTTGAGGGTCGGGAGTTCCGACGTGAGTTGAGAGTTCCGACGGTCGGAAGTTCCGGCATGTGTCGGGTGTTCCGGCACCTCATATTTTCTAACTCAGTTACATGGTTTTCAAATTTGCTGAGGATCGAGAGTTCCGACATGAGTCAGGAGTTCTAGCTGTCGGGAGTTCCGGCATTCATCGGGAGTTCCAACGCCTCACAACTTCACTGTAACTTAGTTACCGTTGGGGCAGTGTAAGTCATACCGGACGTGTCCGGTATTGCAACGGCTATAAAACAGCTAGTTTTTCAAGGGGGCTATAAATACCCCCAAGCCTCCACCTTTGGAGGCTGCTGATTCTGCTGAGATAGACACACGTTTTTGAGCCTTGCCAACTCTCCTAAACCCTCTCCTATTGAGTGTGTGATCCAAATTGCAAAATTAATTTGTGGGTTAAGAGAGAATTCGAAAAAGAGAGCAAGCCACCACTTGAGCACTTGTGCATATTATCAATCTCGTGATTCGCATTTGTTACTCTTAGACTCTTCGGTCCTAGACGGTTAGGCATCGCCGGAGAGCACCCGAGAGATTGTGGTGTGCCTCGGAAAGTTTGTAACGGTCGATTCCGCCGCCTCGGAGTCATTTAGTGGAAGGAGGAAAAGGAGTTGGAAAAGACTCCGGCTAAAGTGACCTTTGTGGTACCCTCTAGGTCTGACCTTCGCTGGGTCGCCCGCAGCCCCCTCAACGAAGAGTAGGACTCGAACGAGTCCAAACTTCGGTAAAACAAATATTGTGTCTCAATTCGTATTATATTTGATATTTGTGTTGCTCTAGCTCTTGTGTAGGTTCTCTGTGTATATTATCATCTCTAGTAAGTGCGTGCAGTTTGGTTCGAAGATAGAAATCGAAAGGAGCAAGTTCGGGGCTGATCTGCAGAAACCGTGTATACCGAACACGTCCAGTATTCATACCGGACACGTCCGATATTAGAGCTCTGTGCTGAAAATATTTATTTTCAGTTCTAACTTTGTGTTGCAGGATTGTAGCTTCTAGATACATTCTTTATACCTTGTATACTCTGTGACTAACTTGTGAGGGGTGGTACTACTCTTATTTGGAGTTTCCATTTTGGAAACTCCCTTTACTAATCGTTTCCGCATTTAAAGGTGTTAATTTTCAGAAACACCTATTCACCCCCCTCTAGGCGGCATCCTAGGTCCTTTCAATTAGTATCAGAGCGAGGTTCTCACCTAAAGCTTCACCGCCGTGAGAAAAGGATGTCGACGCCTGTCGAGTTGGAGCCGGTGCTTCTCCAAAATGATGGTTCAAACTTTCTACCTTGGTCAATTCATGTACTCAATGCTTTTAGACATATTAGTTCTATTGTTGAGCATATTGTGTTTGCAAGCATACCCCTTCCTATAGTTGATTGGAGCAACTATAAGAAATTATCAAAAGAGGAAGAGATATGTGTGCAACTCAATGCTCAAGCTATTAATATCATTTTGAGTACATTGAGTGTAGAGGTTCAAGATGAGGCAATCTTCAATGGACAACCACCTCCGGAGAGTGCTCATCTCATTTGGACTAGACTTTTTGATTTATATGGAAAATCCAAATGTGATGATGCACTTGAGATCGAGTCAATGGAAAGTATATCCATTGTGTCATCATACAGCGAAGAAGCCTCACAAGACCTCAAGAGCGCTGAGCCGAAGCAAGAAGTGCAAGCAGTGCATGACCTGGTGTCTGCCTACATGTACCGGACGTGTCCAGTATTACTACCGGACATGTCCGGTATGGCCAAGGCAGCAGAGCAGCAAGCAGCTGTTTGCAACGATGCTCAAGCCTGGTGGCGACCAAGTGATGAGTCAACCTCAGTATCTCATGATACTCATCACTTGTGTCTCATGGCCAAGAAAAGCAAGAAGAAGGCTAGCAAGAGAGATCAAG